TGTGATTCTATGATTCTATACTGTCTGCTAAACGCAACAACTTGACTCATTTTCTAGAGACTGCAGTCCTTGACCTGTCTGCCCAAAACCTCTGATGTCAAATTAGGAAGCCCTAAGGTTGATTTCTGTTTTCACTCTCATCTTCACCATAGGAGGGCTAGTTAGGTAAAAAAACCCATAACTGAGTCATTATGGTTTAAGTTCACTGAAACTGGATCTATAACGTGCAGTAGGCATCTCAGAGTCCTCATGAAGAGACCACTTAAATACTGAAACAAACTATTTTTTTCCTTTTATTTCCTGACTGGAAGAATGGAAGAGTAACCCTAGCACCTATTGCTTTACTGCTTATTCAAGAGACTTCGAGAGCTGAAAGTGTGTCTCTCACATTTATAAATTAAGATACTTATTGTGGAGAATACTTAAATAATCAATGGATTCCAACCTCGTATTTTGAAAAATACTGTATGATTAGGGGTCAGTGACTGTAAGAGCCACTTCTCACAGTTTATTGTAACATATTTGCAGGTGAATCTCCAAATCAAGTCATAGTAGCGTTATTCCACATAAAGGATGCAAGATCCTAGTGAAACTCACAGACTGATCCCCCAACTATTAACATCATGTTCCCCCTGCATGCACACACCTGCGGAGCAATGTTATGAGCTGGAGGTAAACAGCATGGGTATTCCAAAAAGAAGATCTGAGAAACCTTTAGTGTAGACAAATGTCCCTTGAAGTTATCTGATTTGTAGTCTATACCAGAGAGCATAAGTAATGTGCATGACATGCTGGGATTTTAAGTCTGTTCCTTCCTTTGTGAGGTTGCGCGTACTGAGGCTCGTGGCCGTCCTGCTAACGCGGCTCTCAGACCATGGCTCTGACTGCTCGATACCTCACATCTTCAAACCGCTCACTAATTGCTGGGGAGATTGATTTCCCACTGAGCTTCCTAAAGGCTTGCTTTTTACACAAGCTTACAGTCGCATTATGTGCCTTCTGGGCTGTACGGTTGGTTTAGGCCTGCTCAGTGTTAATGTAATTGGGCTGAAATAAAACCGTTTGTGAAGTTGGAAGGCTTTTATAATGACCCATATTGCTCTGTTTTGTGAAGGAAGCTCCCTGGGGTTCAAAAGATATTTTTTGTTAAATCCTACCCATGAAGAAAATGCACCTACCTTAAAGGGGAACATGATAGCTGTTTCACAGGATTAGTAGTGCTGTAAATAAGGCTGAGGGTAAATGATACGTTACAGGAAAATGACAGGTTTACAAGAAAAGTTAGCTGGCATAAATCTAATAATCTGCAAGTACAGTATGAGCCTTGCAAGTGACAGCCCCATCCAGAAGCAGGTTGCTTCAAGCTTAGGTTTCAGGCTTCACCGACAGTTAACATTAACTAAACTGACACGCATGAACAGTCTTCAAATATCTTGTATTTTTTGTTTGTCAGCATTTCCAATGTATGTCTGTGCTATTTACCTGTAACTTTGCATAGCCGTTTTATAGCAAAAAATATGATGGGATTTTTCAGAAGTGTCTAGTAAATCAGGAACTTACCCTCCTTATTAAAGTTTGATGGAAGTTAAAAAGGTTTGTGCTTGTATTTCATGAGGTGCTACTGGAAAACTCATATTGTAAAGTCACAGAGTTTAGTTCTTTGAAACAGTTTTCTTCTAGTGTTTCAGATAAAAGCTTTTGATCTTGAGCAGTCTCTGCAAGAGGTGACAGAGCGGTATGAGAAAGAAAAGCAAAAGAGGAGAGCTCTACATAACAGCTTAGTTGTAAGTATATTTAATGACAGAGCATTTTCTTATTTTGTTGTATGCCCATAATTTCCTCACCAGTAAAACTGATGGACATGCTTTTCATGGATATATCACCTCCCCCAGCTGTCTAGTTATGATGCCTTTCTTCGCTGAGGCACATTTGTCTTACAGCAAACCCCGCCCCATCCTTTTTACACAAGCGTCTTCCAAATGCACTCCTGCAACGTATTGCCCTGAGGACTATTGTCCATTTCGAATAGTGGACAAAACTTGAGCTTATTCACCCTCTTCTCTAAATTTGCAGCTCCTGAAATTGTCTTAGGATTCTTAAAATTATCAACTTGAAATTACAAAATGGTCTTTTATTTTTCCAAGTATTTCCAGATATGAATCCTGTTCAGCCATTGGGGATGGTTCATTTGGGATTAATTTTTTCCTTTTCATACTTTAACTTTACTCTTCCTCCCCACTTCCCCAAATTACTAGTTTTGGGTTGCCTGATTCAGGACCTCATTTTTAGAAAAACAAGCTGCCTTTAGACAAAATTCTTTTACATTTTTCTACCTGGGAAAATGAAGCTCTCTCCCAAGAAGTCCTTATTTTCCCAACTCTGCCTTGTGTTGCAGTTTACTGAAAGGATATTCCCCAAGGCAGTGGGGAGTTAATGCCAGCGGTCACTAGTCATCACATGCAAGCGGTTTTCATTAGTACAAAACAAGAACTGTTCACCAGCAAAAAAGAAAGGAAAAACATCAGGTTAGATAAACTGAAGTCTGAAACAGCCTGCAGAGAAAAATCAGTTACTGGCTTTTTAGTCATGTATGAACACACAGTGGAGAGGAAAAGGTACAAAATATTTTATATTCCACATCCTCCTCAGGGCTGGTGGAGGAGAAATGGAGTGTGTAATCTTGCCTGTTGAGTGAATATAGGTGTCTGAAGAAACTTAAGTAAAGAGGAAGGAGACTGAAGAGTGGAAAATGGCTGATTTAAAGCCTTTTTTTTTTTTTCTTGGAGACTGGAGCGGGCTTACACCACTTCAGAGCTCTGAATAGTTCATACTTCCTCAAGTACTTTCTCCTAACTTCTCAAAGCAAATGATACTGATACTATTTTTGACTCCACAGAGTCTAAGGTTCTGATGTTGTAAACACCTGCTTTCTTAAGCATGGTCATGTCTACTTCACAAATCCCAGTGTATTTGTCCTCTCCAGTAGTTTGTGTTAAATACAACTTTATATTCTAACCCTAGGAACTGAGAGGAAATATCAGAGTCCACTGCAGGATCCGACCACTACTACCTTTTGATACTGCTGCTGGACATTCCGTACTGCAAGATAGGTAATTTATTTTAGCTGTGTTGCACCTTAGCTGACTCATAGCTAATATACAGAGAAAACAATAGTTATATGTATGTGACAACAACTGTGCTCTTGATTTTTGTGGTTTTGTGTGTGTGGGGAGACAGTGATGTTATCGTAAAAACTAACTGCTGTTTCCTTTTCTTCCTCCTGCTAAATTGGCTTTAGCCAACCTCATCCCCTTGTCTAAAAGTACGTCCGCCTGAACAGAAAGCCATAACTGTCCTGCCAAGGCAGGATTAGGCCTAGCTTGGCAGAAGTAACACAGCTGCAATCAGTTTAGAGTATATTCACTATCCTATACAAATTCTGGGATACAGTAATGTAGTAACTGTCAGAAGTCGTGGGTAGAGAAACGTCCTCAGCACTACAGTTGTTGTGTAACGCTGTAGAACAGATTTGTTGTGAGCACAAACACTGGTAATTCTATTTCAGTGTAATTTGGCTCTGCAGCCCTACTTTACCATACACTTACTGTAACCAAAGTGTCAAAACATTCCAAGATCCAGAAGGAAAAGAGGGATTAGATGCAAGTATGTCCTGTGAACTGAACTATCCACAGATGACTAACATGAAAGAAGGTAGGGACTGAAACATACAAAAAGAAAACTGGGGGTGGATGGCTAGAAACCTGTAAGGTTATCATTTGCTCTGTCAGTAAATAACTGATTTGGGGCTTTACTTTACTTTTGCTGGCTAGTAATTCTGAAAGGGTGTTTTAAAGTTTATTAGTTTTTGGCAAACCTTATTAAAAAATACAGAATTGTTTTAATGCAAACAACATCAGAAATAGCAGACAAGAAATTTCAAGGGGCCTGAAGGGGAAACTTCCATTAAACTGTGTTTGATATGCCTGAGAAGGAGCCCACCCCCTGTTTCTGTTGCTGTATGGAATGGTGCAACCAGTTGCTGAACTGCAGCGTAAACCAGGAGGGACTGGGCCAAACAAGCAATAATTAAGACCTTTTCTTCATATATCAAAAAGTAATTTAAATAAAGCTTTGTTGTAAAACTACAGACTGATTCTCAAAACGCTTACACACATGAATGAATTTATAGACCTCAGCAATCCCAGTCAGTGTTTGGACTAGTAACGGATGCAAGATCAGGGACAAATACCTAAAAAGAGAGTGGTTTTCACTTTAATATTCTAAATGTTCTAATGTTTAATATTCTAATGTTCTAAAGTGAAAGCCTCTTGTTACAATCTCAAAATAATAGAATAACTTGCATGTGAATAAGTCTTCATTGGGTTTGTTCTAAATTTCTTTCTTCAAGCAGGTTATTTTGCTTGATTGCACTCGGTTTTTTATTCACAATTAACCCTGCTGTTAGTATGTACATGGGGTACAATAACATTGGCAGTTCTGAAAGGTATGCTTCAGACAACGTGTAGTACGCAGACGTTCTGAGCATTGACTTTCCTCAGCTGAATGGAACACTTATGGTTTGAAAGGTGCCCTTTTTAATGTATTGTGTGGGGTTTTTTTTTTTACAGGCAAAGAAACTTTTCAGAAAAAGTGGCATATGCAGTTGATGATGTGAGTATTTGATGGTGAAATTCAAAAGCACTTTCACAGATACTAGGAAGGAGAAACAAGAGGGACAGGTGAACCATGGGTTTTAGAATAGATGAGATACTTTCTTGTCAGCTGGTGCCCAGCTTGGATGCAATAGCAGGTGATTTGTGCTATTTTCATCCCGACTCTTTTAGTAGTAATAGCTTGGAGCTTCTGCTGGCGCAGTCATCCATGAACCAGACATTGTGTGTTTTGCAGCAGTCAAACTGCTGCAGACTTCCCACAGTCAGTCCTTTTGAGCCACTTGTATTTGTTCTAACTATTTCTAAAATTGTCAGGCTACTTTCATTTTATTATTGCAACACAACTAATGCATTAGGAGAGAAATATGATAGGTCATGAACCACAACAGCCTACGTAGTACTGCAGTCAAGCATGTTAAAGTATCCTGGCTTAGATCCATCAGAGGAAGGAGAATGAGCATTGAGGCTGCAAATCCAGATGACATTCCAGCATTAATTGGGGCCATTACCAAGATATAAAATCTAAAAAGTCACAGTATTGTGAGCTAAGGTCAAAGTATTAACTCAGGGTTTAATTTTCATAGCTGCCACAGTTCTTAGTTGGCTGCTCACTGTTACTTATGTGGCCATTAGCCAAATTCTGTTCCATAGTGTAGTGCTTAAAATACTGCTGAAGCGACCTGCAGTATGCTATGCATTTAAATCTCCCAAATTAGAGCTTCATTAGGCAGATCTCACTTACATAAAGTGGATACTTAGATATATATGCAATTAGGAGACTAATGGAGCACATGAAGAGTTAGCTAAGAAAGAGTAAATATGTCAGGAGATAAAAAACAGTCATCTGTAATGGTAGGCGTAGTATTCGGGATACCGTGACCCATTAATTGTACTATAAAATGCCACAACCATTTCTGAGCTATTAAGTCTTATTGCATAAAGATGAAATCAGATAATAGTTAGGGTTTGGATTTTTTCATATAGATATCTGATGTATTACAGTATCTGTATGTTTACAGGCAAAGCAGTATCTGCTTGCTTATGCCAATTCAGGAATTTCAGCTTGTTTGAGACAGTGACCTGGTAACCTTCAATATGCTAAACCTGTTCTCATGTTTAAAAGTCCTTATGAAATATTACAGGAAAATAAATGTATGCATGGACTTCACTGTAAAATAAAATCTTCAAGATACTAACTTCCTGGGTTTGGACAACACAACATTGTCTTCAAATGCTTTATTGGTTTGCCTTGACATTTATTTGGTTAACATGCTTTCTCGTTTTGATCAAGTCTGTGTTAGTTCCTTAATATGGTTTTTTGTGGGTTTTTTTTTTTTAGGTTAGGAAAAAAATATTTTTGTTTATAGTGTCCAACTTCATGAGGGAGGATGGAAGTACAACCGACTTTCTACGAAAAGCAGTTAATTTAGACTAATCTAACTAAAGTAAAGGAAAACAACGTTTAATGCCTGCTTGTTTTGCTTTTAACAACTGAAGGTGTTATGCTTGTGGCTAGGATAAATATGTAATTTTCAGAAGAAAAATTATTTGTTATTGAGTTTTTAGTTGCAACACAGTCAACGCTCATATTTCTGGAAACAAGTTAACCATTGTCCAAACAAGTACTTGTGATTTAAAGGAAATTTTAGATCAAGGTGAAGGAAAACTCTCTGTGATAGAGGTGCTGAGTTTATTAGTTTTTCTTTTTTAGATCATGGCTCTCTTTCCAGATTTTTCTCTGAAATTAGTTTATGTGTGTTACACAACCAGGCAGTTATCTCCCTGATCACTTTCGAGTTAATGTGTGTTAGAAAGTAGAGCTGCATTTGAGAGCCAGAGTCACAGCGCCGTCCAGCACACGTGTTGGAGACTATGCTTGGATCTTCTGGACAAGCTTCAGCTTGACGTTGTTCCTGGATGGGACTGGAGTGCTAGTAATGTGCTAATCTGTCTCCAATATGCTACAGCTTTGTCGTGTCGTAACTAGAATAGGGAGAACATCTGTCTTGTAGGGAAAAAGTATAAAGTAGCTTTGCTTCTCTTCTGCCAAGAGCTGTGTTAAGACTTCCTTCAAGCTGTCTGTAGATAGACAGAAGTGACACTTGGGCAGAATGCTTGCGTGTCTTTTTGTGAGACTGGGGCTACATGAAGTCTGTTTAATGTTTGAGTGGTTTTTCATTTGTTTATTTAGAGATATCATTCTACAAAAGACATATGTCATCTTTTCTACAATCTTGTTCACCTAGAGAATCATTATTCTAAGTCTAGAAAAGGCTTAGGACTTACTGGATGTGCAGAAGAGCATTCCATTTCAGTTTCTGAGCTACTTTAAGATTTTTGAAGTTTTCCTTTTTCCTTTCTTATGTATGCCCAGCTCCTCAGCATAACAACCGACTGAGCCTTTCTCCTGAGGCTTGTTGTGCAATAATGGTGGAGAGTGAGCACACACTACACATCAGGTGGAACTGCTCCACCTAGATTAGTACACTGAGCAGTGTTGGTACTGACACGACCGGAGAAAAGGAGGAGGTGAGGTACTGAATGTTCAGAATCTTCTTGGTGGTGACAGGAAAAGGAGGAATGGGTGCAAACTGAAATATGGCTTAAACATGAAAAGCTGTCAATCACAGGAATAGATTGCCCAGAGAGCGTGTGGGGTCTCCACCTTTGGAGATACTCAAAACCTGACTGGGCATGGTCCTGGGCAACCTGCTGTAGCTGGCCCTGCTCTGAGCAGGGTTTGGCCTTGGCGATCTCTGTTCCCACCTCAACCATGCGGTGATTCTGTTGGGGGATCCCACTTGCTGCTTGTCTGTCATTTCACCCTTCTCTGGCAGGTGTGCTCTGTGTGCTGGTGAATATAGGTGTCCCGTTTGAATGAGTAGCTATGTTTTACCTGGATTCACAAGACCAAATGTAGGTGATTAAATGAGGTGCCTAATCACTCCAGACTCCTCTCGTGGTTGCTGAAAAAGAGTAGCCACCTCCAGGGGGAAAGTCATTCACCTAAGCTCTGAATTAAACTTTAAATACGTTTGTTTCTTGCCACGACTACATAGGCACCTGAGGCACCTGCCTTAGCCTAACACCTGAAGTGATGTTTGAATCCAGCTTACTCTGTCACAGAGAAACTGGCTGTCTCTATGTGATTAATACCTTTCTAATCGTTTTGAGAAGTAGTTGAGGAAAAGGGGATGGAAAAGAGTCTGCCCTGAATATCAGGAAAGGTCCCAGATTCTGCTGTTTCTTCAAGATAGGACTGGGAAAACATGAATTAACACAGCCAAGATCCCCCTTTTCTTGGGATAAAATTTTGTAACAGATCAGGTGGATGCAGCTATAACAGTGGGAGAAGTTACCGCTTCCCAGTTGCTTGTCACATCCCCATCTAGAAGTTTCTTCCCCTGGTGCTTACCTAGCCTGGGGAATTCTTTAAGCTGTCCATGCCAGCCTCAGTCCTACATCAGCTGGTCGCACTGAAGTTGAGGGTGAAACATGAGGAGCAGTCGGAGTCTCCCTTAACATTGGCTTCGCTGTGGAGCAGTAGCCTTGGGACAGGGGGCATAGCCTTCAGCAGATATGCAGTAACAAGTGATAAGAAATTATGATTATCACAGCTGGATTCTGTGATCGTGTCTATATCCATTTTTCCATATAACTCATTTAAAATTATTTCTCTGCTTTACTGAATTTCGCTTGCTGGACGGCTCCCCAGGCTTGGGAGTCAGGACAGACTGTGAATATTTATGAAGTATCCTTTTGTTGTTTCCATGATTCATATTGCCCTGAAAGAATTCAGACTGGGAGTATTCTGTGACTCTGGGGTGAAAAAGAGGTTCTTTAGCGTTCATGAGAGACAGTTGTATGGATTTCATAAGCACTATTGACAGGCTGCTTATGGCCTGATGAAATTCTGTAGGCCAGCAGCTGTGGTGGATATCTTGGGCCATACTGATCTCCTGCGACAGGAAGGTCATTACCAATGCTCATATGAAACTTCTGCCTATTCTTTTGTTTCTATGTTATGCAAATAGAGCTTTTTCTGTCCCATTTCTCACCTTGGGGAAAGCTGGTCTGCAAGTAAATCTGATATCTCAGTCAGAAATCTGTTCCATAACTCTGTATCCTTTTCCTCTTTTTTGTTTATTGGTTTTTTTCTTTTCTTTCCCCAGAGCCTTGTGGTTACTGATCCTATTAGAATTTCTTTGTCAGGCTATTTTGTAGCAAAGTGCTGTACTCACATCTGTGCTGCTGCTGGATTTGCCAGTGTTGGGATGGGTAACATATCTCATTCTGTAGAGTGTACGTTGTCATCATTACGTTGATAATGGTATGTTGGCCTCCTCCAAAGAAGAAGAACAACTTGTAAACTCAAACCGAGAATTTTAATTTTTATTAGGCATTTGCGTGCTGGACGTAGTTATGCAATCGCTGCTCGTTCAGCTCTTTCCGACTTCATTCTGTGGCAATACTCACCTGAAGGCCATTAATTAACCACTCCAAGCCGCTTGCCTGAAGCGCAGTAGGAATTTCAGCACTCCCATCAAATGCAGTACCCTAACCAGGGGTTAGTAAGCTAGGAAACCTCCTGGAATTAAATGAAGTGTTTTGTGTGCTAGTAAGCTTCCACCCAAGTTGTAAAACCACACACACCCCCACCCTCCATTTATTTAATTTTCTCTGCAATTAAGCAACGTATGCCATGAGGAGCAGAAGGGCACAGAAGTTGCTGTGTGAGGCATGTTAGGCTGCTGTAATTACACTCTGGTAATAGTTTAAAGAGCTGCCTACGTATCTGTCAGATTTACAAAACTACTATATAATCAGTCTGGAAAGTGGATTCCACTGAAAACTCATGGAATTCTACCAATTGTGCTAGTGCAGTTCTTTCTCACAGTTATTCATAGAGTAACTCATGTTATTCTATGAAATGTACATCTTCTGCTCAGTTCTAGGCACAAATATACATGAAATCAATGTGAAAACTGACTCTATAATTAAAAAGACCTCTTTCTGCCATTTTTTCTACCTGTGGGGGCAGTGAGGTAGGTTGGGTTTACTTGCCTGTGGCTTTCTAGGCACATAAGAGATTCAAGTAAGGGTTTGGATCTTTCTCGTGAATTTAAGTGCGCATATTTTGTGCTGATTGTTCTTCAGTAATCTGAATGTGTTTTGAGATCCTTTCTTGTGGTCTTGCAAGTTCACTGCAGTGCTCAGGCCCTAAAGCTTCATGTGCTGGTGACTGCTGAAGAAGGGCCTCAGACTTCATAATCCTTAATTACTGCTCGCAACTGGAACATAGAAATGATAAATATTTCTTCTTGTGTGTGTGCCTATGCTATTAACTGTATTTCGTTTTCTCTTAGGAAACTGTCCTTGTAAAGTGTAGCCGTCCTGGCCATGCACCAATAAACAAGACTTTTCAGTTTGAGAGGTGGGTAGTTCCAGCAATCAGGATTGCTGGAAGATCTGTACAGTGAAAGGTAATTTTTTTAATAGGCGTTGGTTGAAAGGTAATGTTCATATTTTTTTATTTATGTGGTATTCACGTTCTTCCCAGGACAGAATAATGCAATTCAGGACGTAGATGACACGCTTGGCCTTCCCCCTTAGTGAAGACTATTGATACGCCTGAGTGTGAAACCTGTGTAGAGACTTATTTGACCCTTTTCACAGCCTGAGTAGCTGTCATGATCCTTGCAGTGTGTGGCGAGGGAGAAAAATGTTAGTGCATTTTAAAGGTAAGGACTCGAGGTGGACTGTGGGACATCAGCATTAGACATACAGCATGACTGAGCCGGAAACTGGACTGAGGGCTGTAAGACTCGATGTTCAGCCTTGCTGCTTTTAACGTAGTTCAGATGGCCTGAACATAGACAGCAGGGTAGAGTAGTCGAACATAAATCAGCACTCCCTGAGGGAAAGGCTGTAGTGTGGCCACTGTCCTTATTTAGTGCTCAAGAATCCACATAGAGGAGAGAGATTTGGAATGCACCAGCTGTGATAAGGGTTTTAATTGGTGGGTTTGCCTTATAGGACACCAGAGGGTCAGTCTGCAAGGCAGAATACTGCAGAGAGTCAGGCTTGAAAGCTGCCTTATGTTCTTTCAGAATGGAGCTGACCTGAATCTCTAAGAACAGGAACAAAGGGTTAAATTAATACAAATGAGATCTCTGTAAATGAAGAAATACAAAATTTTGCCCCATGTCTTTTTTTCTAATGCTAATTTTGCATCCATACATTGCAATGACTCATCCGGTAGGCTTTCTACCCTGAACCATGCTTCAAAACCCTCTGGGAACAGAACACAAGGACAATTTCATGCCTCCTTGCTTGAATGTAAAACTTGATTTAAAGTCAAATGTATCCAATGTGAATTATCTGTCCTGGTTTAAACTTAAGGCCTGAGCCTGTGCAGTCCGAACTTCTGTAGGTTTGCTGAACACTGCCAGTCTTCCACCCTTTCCATGAGGCATCCTTCTCAGATGCTGCCTCTTTCCACTCATGAAGACTGAGGACTGCTGCTGTGTAGGCCACCAAACAACAAAAATTCCTGAGATAATGCAAATCTTGGGGAAGTTTTACTGACCCCATAGGCTATTGGACTCCCTTGATACAAGGCATATGCGATCTCTCAAACTACACGGTCCCTTTGCATGTCTGCTGAGCTACTCAAATTCATTCCTTTAACCCTCCAGCTATACATAACATGGCCATACCATTTGAAGGAAATGCAGAATAATGCTGGAATTCAGTTAAGGAAATGCAGAAGAATGCTGGAATTCAGTTCTCTAGTGTGTTAATGGTATTGACACAGGACTCCAGAAGTGCTGTGACTCTGGACATGTGGTGTAGATCCTAATAATCAGGAAAAGGGTTAAAAAAATGTAAATCCCCCAAAGAATGCAGTTCTTGGGGAATGTTTTTTCAGTGTCCCAGCACAGCTCCTTTTTATAAACAGAAGAGCATATGGTTCTTATGAACTCAAAATGTTTATTTTTTTAGCAAAGTTTTATGGAACTAATAAATGTCAAAATATTTGATTTCAGCTCAGGAAGAAAATTCCAGCTTTCAGCATGTTATGCTTTTATAATTTTATTGGCAAATCAGTTAGCAAAATATAAAAGAAGCTCAGAATTTTCAAGGTGAAATTAACATTAATCACTACGCAGGGACAACTCTGTCATCATTCTGGTAAAAATACACGGGCTTATGGAAAGAAATTCTCTGGATTTGCTGCATCTTTCGTGGTCTCAGGCAGCTAATTAAGTGGGTGTCCATGCTTCAGCCAGCGCTGTGATTACAGGGTAGCATAAACTCGTTCAAGCCAACGTTAAACTACTTCATTTGGGTCCTGGTGGCGTTTGAACCACAGCAGCTCAGTAGTGGCAGTAAAACCCCTTTAGGAAGTTGAGTAAATATTTGGAGTAGTTACTGTAACATGGAGCCCCCCGTCTTTCCTCTGAAGGGCTACCAGAAGGTGACAGGGTGAGCTGTGGCTGCGCTGCTTTGCCGTGCGAGCAGACTACTGCGACTGCCCGATTCTAGCCCCGGTTGTGGTCGGTAGCAACCCGTTTGCTTTCTTAGACAGCGAAACCCATCAGCAGCAAGTGAAGACAGTATGAACGTTCTCCTCTCTGAAGTACCTTTCTCAGTTGGGTTGGGTTTTTTCTGTAGTAGCTCTGGGATGTTTCGATGTGTCAAGAAAAAAGTATCTTTCCAATACATATTGAATGAGAGGCCTAGTTGGTTAAGATGGAGGACTTGGTGCTAATGAATATTTCATCAATTACAGATGATAAACGAACCATAGAAAAGTGTTTGGAAGTGCTTTCACTCTCTTAGACTGACCTTGCAGATTCGATGTGCCAAGTTTGCCGAGGCATACGTGCAAAGCGAGGGATGGAGTGTTGCTGTTCAGGGTCCATTTGTCCTCCCGGTACGAACTGTGCCGCTTCCCTGCGTATTTGTTGGTCTCTCAGGGCAGTATGACAGCGCGTCAGTGGAATGGCAAGGCAAGCGGTATTCGTCCGTCAAGCCAGACAAGCACGCCTTTCCTGATTAAAGAACTTACAATTAGACCGTGGAACACTTTGCCACAGGATGTTACTCCCTGCCAAGAATTCAGCAAGATACAAAAAGAAACTGAATACTAATTCTAATAATATTTATTTTGAAACAGAAATTCAACTCGTATTTCAGTTCTGAGGCCAGTTTACAGTTTTTAAGGATTAGGATGAGACACAGAGATGAATTATTGTGTCTGCAGTCACCATAGTGTTTCTTGCTTCTTCCTCTGGCCGTTGTGAGGAAGAAAGTGCTGAAATAAGTGGGTTGGCTCTAATTTTGTATCTGTTTATCAGTGATCCCTCCGTACAATCTCATTTATGGAGAAAGTGAATGCAAAATCTACATTTTTGCAGGGTGTAGGCTGTAGTGGCCAGATTCTGATCAAATACAGAAGGAGGGTTGAGTACATGCTAAAGAGCACACTGTCTTAATTCAGTTAAACTCAGAGTATCACAGAGGAGCTGTGGAATACTGCTGAAAGTGAAGTGTGCTAATATGTTATATACACTGGGAAGTAACTATGCTTTCTAATGTTTGTTGCGATCAAAATTCCTGCTTCTAATTAATCATTTTACTCTAAGATATAAAGAACACACATCATTCATTGAAAAAACAGAGCTAAACAAGAAAATAAAAGAATCACAACTGAGAGGTATCAGAAAAGGAAGCTTTTTCCAAAGATAAACATTCGTACCTTAAATACTTAAGTGTGGCTAACAACATTCATGTTTTAGATACTGTTCATCTTGTATCAACGGTGCTTGCTGCAGGTTGCAGTCTTGGGGAGGATAAGTTTTTGGTGTGCTAGAGAAGAAATACACGTGTTGGGATGCCCAAGTTTTAAGATCAAGATTTCCTCCCTTTCATGACTTCCTATTTTCAGGTCTTGATTATGTTTATGTTGTACAAACTTCTTAGTCAGGAAAGCGTTAACTTTCTTCACAGTGGCTGGTAGGAAGCTCTGTTTCTGGATCTACTCTGAGAGAAGTACTGATAAGGTGTCTTTTTAGCTGGTGCTGGGGAGTGCCTGCACGAAATTCAAAGTTTCTCAGCTTCTGATACTGCAGCTGCATTCCCAACCTCCTCACTACAGGCAGGGCAGGGGACACACAGTTCAGACAGCTGACCCAAACTGACCATTCCATAGTACGTCATGCTTGGTACATAGGTGGGGAGTGGGCTCAGGGGCCATCACTCTTGTTGCTCCTTTACTAACAACTCCTCTGTTAGCTCCTTAACTCCTTTGCTAACCCTTTTGCTAATTCTTTTGCTGGCTCCTTCATTCATGAGTTGGTGGGTCTGTTAGTTTTCCTGGTTGTATTGTCACTCGTGGGGCTCGCTTGGACTTAGCTGCGATTGCTTTCGGGGTCCAGCTCTCTGGCTCTGACTCACTTCTTGGGACCTGGTTGTGCATCGTTTGCTGGGTGGTGAGCTATTGTATCATGTGTTTTATTCTCAATTATTTTAATTTCTTATTGTTACTAGTATTGTTATATATTCATTTATAAATATATATATCGTTCACTTATATTCAATTAGTAAATAGTTCTTATCTCAATTTTCCAAGCTTCCTTGTCTTTTTCTCCAATTCTCTTCCACTGGAGGAGAGGGTGGAGGTGTGCAAGTGGCTTTGTGGTATTTTGCTAGCCAAGGTTAAACCACGACACTGCCAGAGAGACAGGCAGAAGGATGAGCTCAGAGAGCCACAAGTGTGCACCTGCGGGTTGTTCCCTCCAGCACAGACAATAGCTGCTCCCAAAAAGGGGGCAAGAACCTTGGAGAACCTTATTAGCCACAAGAACCTTGTGGCTAATAAGATTCATTTTCAGTCCCCTGACAGAAATGTCAGCAGGTCAAGAGTTTTATGTCACTGGCCTACATATTCCTTTGTATTCTTGTATTATGACAACATATTTATATTTTTCCTTCAGTTAATCATTGCACTTTGCCCCTCAGAGTTTACAGTTCTTTGGAGTCTCAAGACACAGTATTTGCAGATGTGGCCCCTTTGTTAACATCTCTACTGGATGGGTAAGTCAAAAGGGGGGAGGGAGTAAGAAAGCTAAAGGACAATAATCTACTGAAACTCATCAATTTAAAAAAAAAAAAAAAAGAATGCTTAATAGTGGCAGCCCTGTCAAGTTTTGTGGCTTTGCAGTTGCATTTTCCTGTTTTCTGTCACTCAACACCAAGTAAATGTTGTTTCTCCATATAAGCAGTGAAAACTGTTTACAAAATTCAGCAGACTGGACAAATTGGGAAAAAACAGAATTTGTTTTCTTCCTCTGGTGTCTTTCTAGCAAGCTTAAGCATTCCTTCTCATGGAGGATACCATCTTTTTTTGTGTTTTGGTAGGTTATGACTGTTTTCCAGTTGTAGATACAGGGTGATACATCTATTCCGACAGTGCATTCATATATAAAGGGCCTGCCAGGCCACTCTGATCATCCGTTCTGGTTTTGTGTACAGCACACTCGTCGTTCTAATGGTCCTGCAGGCACCGGGGCTAAAACAGAGTTCTGGTTTGAATATAAAACTGAGCAGTAACAACTACTAAAAAATACGTGTAATTACTGCTAGCCACTGAAGTTCATGAAGTGGGATTCTTCATTTATGCCAGAGCCCAACCAGCCACGCTTGCGCAGAAGCCTTGAAGTGCGTATTGCTATGATCCTTGGGGCGTGAACTGAGATCCACACAAAACTTCATTTCTGCTCCTTTCTCACCCGGCTCCAATCCACTCATTTAGAGATGGCAGTTGTAGAGCTGTCATGGACCTTTCCCTCCCTGTAGAGGGGAAGCCAGTCCCTTTCCATCCACAGGGGCACAGCTGAACAGTGGCAACCCTTGTTCCTGGCAGTCTGTGCACTGAAGTTTCCTAGTCTCCTTTTCTTAAAAGCAGCCTAGAAGAGGCATATCAGGATCTTGGGAAATCCCAGCCATCCCTTTACACGTGCTGCAGAGGGGCCCACATGGGCTGCCTGGGCTAAGGGCAGTCCCATAAGGCATTATTCTAGTTTACCACGGATAAGGAACCACAGCTTCCATAGCTGAGCAACCCAGGGACTGATAGGTTGGAGGAGTTTGAACAAGTCCCCACAGCCACTGTTTTCCCTCTCTCCTTCTCCTTCCGCAATGAGCGTAAATTGGCTTTGGCTCAGTGTTGCCTGTGTGTCTTCAGACATATCTGATCTGTACCTTGATCTGCTGCGCTTCCTGCTGTCTTACTCCGCACTGAGAGAATCCTGTCCTAAAAGCTAGGTTTTCCCAGTCAGTTAGGAAATGTTCTGTTATTGAAAATGAGAGTTGTCTTGATCTTCCAGAAGTGCCATTTAAACAGAAGCAGATTTTCAGGGAAGGCGAGGCTGTGCGTAGGAGCCATCCTTCCCAGCAGCCTTCCCTTTGTAAATGGGAAACATACATACTTAGTCTGAACCTTGAACCTTTTTGCTGCTCCCAGTTGTTTTAGTCTGGGCTCCAAAGTGGTCTGTAACAACTTTTAGCTTAAGTAGAAAGGAGTGTTCCACTGCTGCTTTTTTTTTTTTCTTTCCTCTTTATTTTTCTTTCTTAATGAATTGTTCAATTTTTCAGTATAAACATACAGGAAGAAAAGATTGTCCCATATGCAAAACAGACGAAGTACAGCAGGCTTGAGAGTTTACAGTGAGATGTACAGGGCCAGCAGGGGAGTAAGATAATATTTCTTTTCTTTACAGCACTGAAGAATCAAACTTGTTTATTTATTTTAAAGAAGAATACATTTCTCCTCCTTTGGTTTCCTTTAACAGTGTTCTCTCCTAGCCATAACTTTGCTATACTGAACACCCACACTCTTTTTGGGAGGGAAACACTACAAAACTGTTGGTATTCTAGCTTGGCAATAAGAACTTTCTGAAACAAAAATGTAACAAATGAAGCAGAGTGGAGAAGGAGAAATGTCAGGGCACACAGGGGAATCATAGTCCGAAATTTTCAGATTGTCCCACTGGGAACCCTTATGTTGGAACCAGAACACCAACGAAGTGAACTAGGCAAATATAAACTACTCAGCTTCTTGTCTTCTTGAATCACTCAGCAATTCATTCTCTGCTGTGCCTACTGAGATACAGCGCTGCTTTGGGTAGCTTGAGCTCATCTGGGCTTACTGTGTGGGCTTTGGCAGGGAAATTATCACGGATTGATACCTGATTTGCATCTCCGTCTTCAATGCTACAAGCACGTGTCTGCTTAGCGTCTAATCATATCACCTGTATCTTCTCAGAACTGTTTTGTCCATCTTGCTTACTTTCTAGCAAGTAACAGTTAAGGAAAAGCTGAAGAGCTGGACCATATAAAAGTTCAAGAGACTTGTAAAAAGACATTAATTCATTTTTCCTAAGGCAAGCTACTGCGTGCAAACTTTCCCTGACATAAACGATAGAGTTGGGTCAGTGGTGAACAGAGAAATCCCTTGTTTCAGATTTACAGCCCTGATTTCTAGCACATTTCATTTTGCTGCAGTGCTCTCTATTTTGAGTTACATTTATCTATCTCCTTCTCTTCATCAAATCTGTGACTAGACCTCTGGTTCATACTCTGCATCCTGAAACGTGGAGGGAACTCACTACTATAGGTTCACTGACTGCAACTTTGGCTTCGCATCCCCAGAAAGGGTATCCAGACATTTTCTGTGCTGTTTATCAGCCCACACTGCTTTCTAGCAAGAGAAAGCTTTCTAAATAATCCTCCGAAAATAATTGCCTCTAAGCATGATTAATATGCAAAAAATTGCTGCAGATGTATTTCTGTGCAGTGGCCACGATCAGTATTTCGTGCCTTGAAGCTCTAAACTTAAAACAATTGGATGAGGGGTGTTCATTTGCTGGCATGTGCTTGAAACAACATTTTTGATACGAGGAAAAGCATCGGATAACCAAAAGCAGCTGTTCAGCTCTGCCCACGGAGGAGGTATAGCTTAGGCAGTGAAATTTTACTCCCTGGCAGAACAGGAGCAAGCCCATTCTTGCAACTCTCCAGTAGAGCAGAAATTTCGGCACACTGCAAAGCACTCGCGGCCTACGGAGGTTCTGCTAGCGTTAGGTCTCTCGTGGGAAGGAGCGGTCCTGTCGGCATAACTGCCTGTCTCCCCAGGGTTGTTGCTGGCCCAGTTCCGTGGTCAGCACGGAGGTGCTGCAGCAGCCAAGCAGGGACTAACCTTCAGCTGCACAGCACAGCGCTGGTGCCCAGTGCCAAGCAGGACTGTGGCTGGATGCATCCTTATCCACCCGCTTGTTTTGCCAAAGCTGTTGACTTTGCTCTGGCTGGGTTAGCAACATGCTTTACACAGGATTCCTGCAGTTAACTTCAGATCCCTGGGTCACAGACATCCACAGCAGAGCTTGCGGCTGTCTACCTTTTTATTATTCTTTTCAGTGCAGTGAAACAGGCATTGTCAGAGTTCTGTTCACTAGATATATCTTATGTGTCTCCAGAAGGTGAATTCTGTTCCATAGGGGCCTGTACCTCTGCAGTGACAATGCACATTTTCACCTTCTACAAGTCCATACCAGAGCAGTTCCTACCACTTTTATTCCGGAGAAGCTTTTGGGTGCATGCTTATACTGAACCAATGTATTTGGTTTAAAATCTGTGCCTCTCACTATTAGGGCTGTCTTGTCTTTTCCAGTGACTGAGGGCTACGACTGATGCGCCTGCCTGAAAAGGGCTACGAGAGCTGAAGGGTTTACTGTTCCCAGCTGTTAAGATGTTAGTGCTGCGGTTTGCGGCACAGCACTGCAAGGCACATCAGACCCAGCGATGGTTTACCTCACGGTGCTCTTCTGTAAACCGCGGTGGCGCAGGAGCCGATCGACGGGCAGCTCAGCAGTGTGTGAGCTGGGATTCGGGCAGACAGGAGGTCTAACCTCATCGGTCATTCCAAGCTAAGCGTCTCTGGAGCTCTGCTTAAAAAATAAAATCTGTTCAGGCAGTGTTACGAGCAGTACTTTAATTTCTGGTAGATTGGGAGATCTCCAGAAAGCAAGTGACAGGAGTAGTGTGTCTATTTTGTGCTCCAGGTTGTGTTCCCAAATTGTTTGGGGTTTGACTTGCCACCTAACAAACACGCTTGGTAACGGTAAAATAAACGAAGACCCTTTTAATTTTCAGGTACAATGTGTGTATCATGGCTTATGGGCAAACCGGAAGCGGGAAGACCTACACGATGCTGGGACCACAGCTAGGGGAGAACTTTGCATTCTCCATGGAAGATGAATCACAACTTGGAATTATTCCTCGAGCTACCCAAGAAGTGTTCAGGTAACAACTAAATAGAGGCTCGTGGCAGTGGCAGTCAACAGTTAGCACTAATCTTTACAGAAGGGATGAAATTATGTTTGTAATGTATTTCTCAGTGCAGATTTCAGCTTCACAATCATTAATAGCTTCTCTACCTGCCATTCCGTATATGAGTTTTGATACAGACTTCGTCTCTCTCCTGCTCAGTCTGATTTTCCAAGAAAACAGCAGGATTGCACAGTCTTATCTGTTCATCTGTCTTTCAGACTCCTAAGTAACTTCTGAATGTGTTTCAACACATTGGAGTTGTGGGAGTCCAAAAGATAATCTTTATGAATTATGTGCTAATTGACAGTTGGAATAGATGACGAGGATCCAGATTAGAACCCAGTCCCCAGGAAGGATGATAGTAAATTTTTTAACCACAATCTGTTCTTGCTTTGAGAATTCTTAGTTTTGGGGTTTTTTTAGTTGAATCTAGCACATGTTTTGAACTGATGTCCTCCTATGTTATAATAGAACAGCGGTTAAAGGGTTTTCCAGATAAGCCTATTTCTTTTGGAAAATAGCATAAGATAAATCCCACATCCAATTTTGTGCCAGATTACTGTAAATACTCTCCTGAATAGACAAACCCTTAATTTATGAATTTTTGGAGGCTGTGGACGGATAAGCTCCTACAGACCTAGCTGGGCAGTTTCCCATCTCTTGCCTGTTCATCGCTTGCACTCTGCCAGAGTTTATCACTGAGCTTGAGCTCTGGATGCAGTAATAATGTCCAGCAGAGAAACGGTGTAAAAGAAATCTTGGGTAGGGAGGGAGGGAGGCTAGTGGAGAAAGACAATTTAAGCTGGCACAGCGGTTTGGAAAATGAAGTTTTATTTACTGCTTCACATGTAGTATAAGTGTATTCTGAGTCTTCAGATTAACATTAGGGTGTGGATGAGGCAAAGCCAGGGCTGCGGATATTTAATAAGTGCTTTTGTCAGATTGTAATTAGATTAAAATTAAAGAATAGACATTTTATTTACAGATTGTTCACTTGGGGTTTGAATTCAACATTTTTTGGCTATTTTCTTTATTTTTTTCTTTTCTTCCCTATTTTTGTTCTCCAGGCTTCTTTCAGAAAAGCCACCAGGAAGTTACTGGGTTGAGGTTTCTGTTGTAGAAGTGTATAATAATGAAATTTTTGATCTCCTGGCCAAAGACGGTTGCGGGAAAGTGTTTGGCGTCAAACGTGACGTTGTCACAACCCGAGGAGGAAAGAGCGACGTTCCGTTGCTGACGCATGAGTGAGTACATGATTTGATCCTTCTCATCCAACCACCATCTGGTGTCAACGCAGCGTGTAGCTGTCACAAACCTGCATTATGGGCACCAGTTATCGCTTCTGAACAAGGGGTCTGTGCAAAAGAACAGTTCTGGCTGTTTCCACCAACCCAGTCTGTGAGCCTGCGGTTGGCTGCAAATGTCAGAATACTCTCAGACATAGCAGCACAATTGGTTTGGGTTATACTCCTGCGTTCAGCACCTTCCACCCAGGATGCCTGAAGGCAGCTGTGTATTTCTTTGTTGGTGGATCTAGGGCATCTTCTCAGCTGTAGAAAAAGAAGGGGTAACCCAGTCACAAGGCACTTTCCCTTCAGTCTTACCAAATTATAAAATCTAGAGATTGTAATGGAAATATATGTACTCCTTGTAGATTTTTAAGCAGCTGTAGAGTGCCACAGTTTTAAATGTACTTCAGAAAGAGTAAGCTTTTAAGTGATCTTTTAATATAAATACCAATCTTACACTGCTTAGTATTCTGTTTTCAAAACTGGAGGCATTAAAGTGGAATCGATACGCTGGCATTTGAACCCCTAGTTCTTGAAAAGCCAGGGCCTTCAAAATAAAAGCTGAGAATTAGCTAAGCTACTACCCGTTCAGTTTTAAGATATATACCTTCCCAGCATCGTTGTGTGATAGGCTTGACTCTTATTTGCTCTTATTTAGTTCTTGAAGGTGTAGGGAGAGCTAAGATATTTAAGGCTACAGCTATGTTTGCTTTATGTCTTCCTATACATACTTAGCATTACAAAGGCTTGTTCTAGTACACGTGGGAATGATTCTTGGTGTCATATGAGTAATATACAAGGCAAATGTGTAACACTTTCCTGCTATATATGAAACACCTTGGCTAATCAGACGGTAAAAATCACATGTTCATAACAATTCATCCATTAATGAGAGTGAATCTGTTTCAGATGCTTCATTTTAGTATTGGATGTGTTGTTTATGCCAGTATTACATCAACATTAGCAAGAAAAGTTATGGTAAGCAGCATTAGTGGCACCAGAGAGGTGATGCTACCTAGCAGAATTAAGCTACTGGACATCATCTCCCTGCGAGCACCCAGCATGGGAATGGATTCCAGAAGGGAACGTTTCTGCTCGTGCACTGCACAGAGGGCTAAAAACTTAGAAAAAATGTTCTGCTCCTTGGGCAAATAATGTTTGTGAAAAGAAGCACCTTGCCCTATTGAAACATTTAGCACAATCATAGAATGGTTTGGGTTGGAAGGGACCTTAAAGATCACCATAATACAATGTCTTACATTTCTGGGGGAACCTTGATGTTTTCCTTCACTTCTCTATAATAATGCTGGTCATGGTCTAATCTCTAGTTTTCCTGGAGGAATTAGAAGTCAGATATGTAAAGCAACCCCCCCCCTCCCCCTCCAGTTAAAATAAAACATACCCTCAGTGGAAATAACTGAAGAGGCAGTATTTCTGCCTTGCGGAACAGAGTCACACAAGCAGATGCGTAGTTGTTTGTTTTTGTGGGTTTATGCTGTTGCCAGAAAGCCTTGATAAAACTGTAAGAACGTACTGGAGGGCTGTGCAAACATACTTGGATTCTACCTTGTTATACACGTTGATTGGCTTGCATTGTCTAGCCACTGAACTGCTCACAGGGAAGTGGGACCCCAGAGAAACCCTAAAGTGGCTTTCTTCACCATGGGCTCTGTGTAACTCCGTTCTTTTATAAAAGTACTCGGCACGGCAGTATGCTAGGATATGCTGTGTGTCTGGGCTATGCCTGCTCTGCAGTCTGGAGGTTAAATACGATTTCCAGAGAAATTCTGCATCCTTGATTGCCCTCTGCATGCTCCCTAAGAGCATGGAATGAATTAAAAATGTCTGGACCTTCAAGTGATGAATCCTTTTGCCCTCCCCATCTCTCTCATGCTGACTGGTGAGTTTCAGTCTCTCTTCTTGGATTTCCTCAACTGCGACTCCACTCCACCTTGTAGCGTCCGGTTAAGGCTCTGCTGTCAGGGGAATGAAACACTCCTGCAGAAGAGGTTGGGAGCAGAGCCTCACCTGTGTGCGCTGGATCTTTCTGGAAGGAGCTCATCTTTTTCCTTTGACTAGAGAAGAACCATACGACTTAGAAAATGAAAATGGGTGCATATAGTGTGGCTGTGATGGGAGCTGACTTCTTCCTGTTTCACCAGAACCTCCAAGTAATTTTTAATTATGGTATTTCAGTAACCAAGATGCTGGCCTGGTTATTTTTCATTCCTGAAAAATGCCTACTCCCGAAGGGAGCTTTGCATAGTTAGTGGGTGACTCCTCTCTTTTCCTAGGCTTTGGGAAAGGGAAGGGTGGGATGTAGCTGGACTTGTGCCACAGAAAGAACTAGCAGCTGCCATAAGGTTTCATTTGTTCTTCTAGTTAATAAAATGGCTGCTCTGTTTATTTCTGTAAATTTTAATTTATGGTAAAGGAACCTGGCGCCTTGAACTAAGCACCTCTTAAAACCCACTTATCTCAATTGATAAATACTCAATTCTAATGCAAATATAAATAAGAATATGGACTTGTGTCTCAATTACAATGCAAGCAGTGAAAGAAGTCCAATTCATAAACAGGTTATATTAATAATTACACAGAAAGGTTAATAAGAAAAAGCAAATCCAAACAAAGCAAGGGAATCATCGAATGAGGCCACCCAGCTGCCCAAAATCTAAAGTAAATGGCTGGTGCTTTGAATAAAAACACATCATCATTTGTGATAATATTTCATCTAGAATATATTGGCCTGCTGGGTCTCGTTGCCTTCTCCATATATCCATTAACGTACAGTAGTCTCTTTCCTGCTAACATGTACCTCTTACTGAATCACAAAAACCTCAGTCTCTTTCTTCTTTTATGGCTTGGTTGGCTTTGGAGAACATTCAGCATCAAATTTTTAACCTGACCACAACAGGGCTGCTGTTTGCAGAATCGGGTCCTGGAACGTGCGGTACGTACAGCAGGATAAAGTCATCGGGATTGTACTGAAGAGTGATTGCTGTCAGCCCTGCTGATAGCTGCTGTGCCCAGCCTGCAGCACTGGGGCTGCGGGAGTCTCTTACCTCCAACGCTGGCTGCAGTCTCCCAGGAGGCGACCGGCGCTGACGGCTCACCCTGAGGCCTACCTTGTGCAAACACAAGCTAGAGGACCGCAGCTTGCAGCTCGGACCCCTTGCAGAGCACAGGGGCACCTTGCAGGAGCCGCTTGCCTGTGGCTACCTCCTCTGAAGGCTGCTTGCCTCTCCTGCCACCCAGTCCTGGCTCACCAGCTATTGGAAGATGCAGTTCAAACCCCAGGAAGGCAAGATCTGCCTCCGTGGGCTGAGGCAACTGCCTTTGACAGCAGGAGCTGGCACCACTGCTTCCTTGCTGGTGCCAGGACCAACAACCAGGGAGACACCACCAGTGGATGCAGAGAGGCAGAGACGGTAGAGGGGAGGCCAGCGTGCACGGCTCAGGAGTGACAGGCGAAGGCTATAGGGATAAGGGCTCCTGCAGCCCTGGTTACCCAGGGAGCTGCTTAGGTGTCTATAACCATGGTGTGACTAGGTGTTTTTCTCTTCTTCACGTGCCCTGGCCTTATTTGCAGAGGGAGTTGTTTCAGCTGGGTATAGCTCTCTTGGCTCCAGACTCCTGGAGCATGGCAGCTCTTAGCGTAAGGTACGTCTGTGCCCAGTGTGACTTTTGCCGAAATCCGCCCAGTCTGTGTCACGAAGGCCTTGCCCTTTTATCGCATTCTTGCTTTTGCCAACTGCAGCGCTATCGGACCAAGGCCGTAAGGAGAGTTGTTGATGGTTCTGGTGTTACAGGCCATTCGGTGACCAGGCAGTCATATGCAGCCATAATAATTTCTACCCCCAGCTACAAACTAATGTTTAGGTGAGGTAACTTGAGTGACTATTGAAGAAGGCAAAGCAGCGAAAGGAAAGGGTAGGCAGTCTTACCTCGTTCGTTTGAAACATTGCAAACCTGGGGGAAATCACAGTGGGTTTTTTCGTTACCCAATCAGTCTATTTCACTTTCTGTGTTAGATTTTTGTCCTTTGATTGGTCGCATTTGCCGTATTTTCTTTAACTGAGAAAGAAAACCGATAGTACCAGATAAAACGGTCTACAGACCTGTGTCTTTTCTTCCAAAGTAGAGGTGTAGGAACTTCAGTCGGTTCTAGAGCTGAGCTGCAGTACCTATAGACCTGCCAGGCTGGCAGGCCACTTCTCCAGCCCTCTCAGTACTACCTCACAGCTTTTGTCTTGAATTTTCATCTTGGCCTATATCCCACCTGAAAAGTTGTTGTATATACAGTCGTTTGTGCAGCTCAAGCCTGAGATGACTATAAGACATTAGAAGAGCGAGGAAGTGGAAATGCTTAGATTCGCGTCTGAGTTGTCAGCTGCCTCGTGTGATTTTTTTTTTTTTTTTTTTTTACTGTGGGGCCATTAAATCTTCCGCTTGTTCCTTTACTTCCTAGGACTGTTGAAAATGCGTCTGAATTTTTGCATCTTGTCAACAAAGGTCTACAGCTGAGAGTCAGGCACCCAACACTGGTGCACGCTCATTCCTCTCGTTCTCACCTGATAGTTACACTGACCATAACCACACTCGTCTCCGGAGATAACTCCGGTAAGTAGGATGTTACTAACATACATCCTGAGCCAGTCGCTTTTTGACAACCCGTCTGTGGATTGGGAGATTTCCATATTGTTTTGTCCTCCTTTTTCCGATGTTTAATACATTCCTTCCATTTTTTTCCATTGTTTAACTTTGGCATACTTTCTTAAATAACAGACCAGTTTGATGCCTGAATGATAGTGAAACTTTCACTTTTCTTTACGTCTTGACTTACAGTTCTTGAACTTTTATAGCATGAAATAATTAATGAATTAAATTTTATCAGTAAGTTATAAGATAAGGTATAAGATAATGTATCAATAAGGTAGACAGATACAGTAGTTAAATCACTTTGTATGATGTATCACGTAATCACTCATGCTAAATTTGTGATAAATCTAACCATGCGTTTTAGGGATCATCATATCGTTTTGGGTGAGAAATAATTACCTTTTTTTTTAACCGGTTGCCTTGCCAAAACATCCATCAAATTCAGTGTCTTGAACTGTTAATAATAGGCCACTGAAGGAAGAGACAGCGTAGTTATTTACTATGGCAAACCCCATATTTCTACTTTTCATTACCCCACCAAGACTTACTAGTTTATTGCTCTAGGAATAACTTCAGCTTTTGGGGGTTAACTTTGTTTTCTTTTGCTCGTGTTGTCATTAGGCTCTCCGCTTCCCGTGCTGTGGCCCACCTCCTTCATACTCTGCAACAACAATACGGGTTTAGAAAGTGGAACATATTTAACATTTTTCCCCTTAGATTGCTGTCAGAAACTAAACCGACAGTGTTAGCAGAACAGAACACGCAGTGCCCTCGCCTACCTGTGGGCCCTGCCAAAAGACACAGGTCCTTCACAAATGGCAGCTCCAGCATTCCAGGTGTCAGCTCTAGCCGGTTCCAGATCCTTGTCAGCCAGCCAGACGTTACTTTTCAAAACACAGCGTTTGCGCTGTCAGCACGCCAGCTGTCTTGCCCAGTCCGGACTTCCCTGTGCCACTCCGAAGTGCAGCCGCCCTGCTGCGCCACGCTGCCCAGCGGGAAAGCTCCCTAGCAACGTCTCGGTTACGCTCAGCGGAGGCTCAGGCTTTCGGCTCGTAGCGCGTGGGTGAAGATGCGGAGTATCGGGGGGGTAGAGCAGCACTGCAAACAGGCCTTCACTGTTTGCGTGGCGGCACATTCTGCCTTGTTTAGAAGCAGAAATTCCTGATTTAAAAGCCAGGTGTAATTGTCAAATATCTCCACAGCAGAGACCTAAGTCACCAAATAAAAGGTTGTAAAGGCGGTGATGAGTTCTGCGCGTAAAGCCAGGGCTGACAAGCCAGTGCTTTTTCAGTTTTGAGTAAGGTCTTTTAGCATTTTGTTTCAGTAATATCTGCTGTTTGAGGAAGGCAGTTTCTTAATTTCCTTGTCTCACACTGAGGAGCAGCAAGAATGCTTATTTTTACACTGTATGGCCTGAAGCCATTTATTCTGTGTACACCAACGCAGCTGCTCCATCTACACTGTGAACAGCTAGCTCAGGTTTTAGCAACAGCCTGGCTGGGAGAGGTGCTGAGTTCTGCAACCCAATTCATTCTGTTCCTTACTCAGGTTTTGCAGCTGGGAACTTTGTACTGTTACAACGAGACTCTCTAAGTCCCCAAGGGGACTGTTGTCTCCATTACCTGTAGCAGAGCGTGTGCCTTTTATTCCTTTGTGTCTTTCAGAGAGAGAGAGAGAAATGGATGGAAACCAAAACACGGAAGAAAACAAGCAAAACTGCTTTAGGAAAGCCCTTTTGTGTGTACTCCTGCTAAGCTGATGTCAGAGCAGCTTTCCCAGAGAATCTGTCTTCCTCTTCCTTCCCAGCAGAGAGCAAGAACCAGATGCTGCTGCCGAGGAAGAGGAGGGATATGAGGCAGTCTAGTGCAGCTACAGAACTACTAGGGATAGTAGGTAACCCACCTGAACAAGTGGGAGTAATGCTGTTGAGGTTAGTAGCTCATCATGTGGAGATGCAGCAGTGGCATGCGGGGGCTGAAGGAAGACTAGAGGGGACAGAACGGAAGAGGCAGGATGAAAGTTATGGGTTTTTTTCCAGAGCACCAGCAGGTGATGTGTCAAATACATAGAAACAGACTTCAGAGCTTACTGCTCCCAGGCATTCAAAATCTCTCTTTGGTTGCAGTCAGTCTAAAACGTGAAAAAATGCGCTTTAAAGTCCATACTGGATTCCTATTTCTTGTTTTCCACGTAGAATTGTGAGCAACTGGGTTATTAGATACAACAGAACCTACACCCGAGTCTTGTCACCAACCGCTGGGATTGGTTGGATGAACAAAACCTTAAATAAGATAGAAACGGTCATTCAGGCTCTGACTTGCATGTTGCTTCTGTCAGAAGAACCTAAACCAGCAGATGTTGTACTTCCCCTGATGATGCCCCATTTTTCTCCATCTCAATGTCCATTGTCAGTGAGAAGTTCACCTTGTTTGCTTTTTCCACTTACCAGGTCCTGCATGGGAAGATGAACAAGCCACTCAGAGACTAAACAAAGAGGTTTCCTGCACCTATCCGCAAAAAATGAGAGACAGTAAATCCACCTCTTCTTCCAGAGCCTCTTCACCAGCCCAAGCTGAAGCCACTGAGAAACTGAAGCAGGCCAAAACCAGGCTGCAGCTGGTGGATCTGGCTGGTAGCGAGTGTGTCGGTAAGCGAACGTGCGCGCCCACGGGCACGGATCCTCCCAGACCTGGGTTACAATGGTCACCTTTCTCTCTTTATGCAGGGATACGTGCTACCCTGCTTTCATACCGGGCGCGATTTGAGCCCACAGAGCCTGACATAAACAATATTTGTGGGCCTGACTGTTCCAGTTTTACACTGGTACAGTTTAGCAGAAAATCTGACTGCGTAAGCTTAAAATAAGCCCAGGGCGGTTACCCGTATCATAGGTATATTGTTTGTTCAGACTGGTTTTATCAGGCCTGTTTTTCTGCTCTGAAAATTAGCATGTCTTTGCACAGAAATGTTTAAAGTGCATAAATTATTTAAATATTACAAATACCTGTAGTAATTGATATTACCACGTGCAGGTTTTTCTGCCTTATTGTGGAAAAAGTCTTGGAGGAAGTTAGTGTTGAAAAGATAATACTGTTTTCATTGTTTCTTCAAAGCATTTCCCCCCTCCCCTCCCCATGCACATGATAATTTCAAAAACTTGATTATTTCCTAAAGGACAAGCTTTCTTACCCAGAAAAGCCACGCGGCCAAGTGTACCATTCCAGAAATAATGTTTTGAAAACCGAACCAGTATTATGAAAGAGTCTTTTACTTCACTGCCAAAAATTCTTGCTGCTGCTCACTGTTAAACTTTTTTTCTACAGAGAATTCTAATATAATACATTTATGGTTTTTTTTCATTTGCTCCAAGTGCTGGAAACTGCTCGGTAAACACGTAATTGAGCAATAGTGTGTGTGTTTGTTCCCTCGGTTCAACCAGGACAAGCGTTTACTTTGTCTGGGGCTCGGCGGGCCAGATCCTCCAGTGAAGCCCAGCAGAACTGCTCTCACCTCTGTTAGGTGCAGCCCGGCACGCACAGCACGCTGACCTCTGCCCTCAGCTGCGCTGGCGGAGATTTGGAGACGTGTGCCACCGGCTTACTCTGATAACCGTAAATCACACAAATGGGGGGCAGCTGTTAACTTGTAATTGGTTTCAAATGAGACCAAATCTAAGTGGGCAGCAGTAGCAGGCAGTTTGGCACACTTTAAATGTACGCCAGCCTCTGCCTTGTTAGCTCCGCAGCCATCCCGGACCGTTCACAGCATTTGCTAAGTGGTCTCTTTTAGGTTTCAGTTTAAAAATCCATCTAGATGCTTTGTGGAAGTTTGTCTGACTGAATGTAGATAATTGGCAGCTTAAACGTGTACCCCCTCACCTGCGTGCAGCGTTCTGCTTTAGGGTGATACCCGCTGTCTCGGGAGCCCACCTTCACTGGCTACAGAAGCAGCTGGGGATGGCTGTAGACAGACCCCAGCACAGTTGGTCTGAGATACATCCCAGCTCAGATCACTGACACCCTGCACAGGGTCTTTCAATATGGTTTGCCCCGTGACTCTCTGCAAAGAGACGCTACCCTTCCAGCCCCATCCTCTCCCACTGGCACGTTTCTCCAGCCCTCGTTGTCCAGGCATCTGTGGTCTTATCCTGTGCCTTTTCACACCTCCCTCTTGAACACACTTCTCTTGTTCTCCCAGTTGGGAAAATCCTGGCCTGGAGGGAAAACAGGATGCCTAGCCTCTCTCTGTACAGCCTCTTTGCCTCTCTAGGGGTAGGATGGAAGGCAGTTGCGGAAACTGTCGGCCCCCCCGACCATCCCGTTACCGCCAGCTCTGCCTAGCACAGATCACACGCTGCGTATGGGAACTGGTTGCAGATGCAACTGTAGCTCACTCACTATCCCGGAGAAAGGCAGAATTTGAATAATACGATGCTAAAAGGTAATAGCAAGTTTCTCTTCCCTGAATGGCAAAGGAAGGGACAGGAGGAATTAATTACTCCTAGCTGCACACTCACCCAGACTGATCACAGAGTTGAGCCTGCAGCACCTCTTGCAGTGGGTGCAGCTTGATTCGTAGGCCAAACCTCTCCAGCGTCGCTCTAGGGCAGCGTAGCTACACACCGCCATGCTGGCCGTGGTTTTCCCGTTATCAGTCCCCTTACAGCAAGTCGTACCAAAAGAACAGAACCTCACAGACCTTGGTGAACACAAACCCTCATGCTTTTGTTTCTGCAGCTCGTGCCATCAGCGTTGCTCCTGTTCTTCCTAGGGGGTACAGATGGGGCAGTTAACCGTCTTGTCTGATCTTAACATGTTGCCGCTTTTTCAGCCGCGTAACACACCCAGCGCCAAGATGCCTTGCGCAGCTGAAGAGCTCAGCACGAGATGCTTCAGGCCCACTGCAGGCACTGAACCTTCTGGAACTTTCCTTCCAAGGGTCAAAGTGCTGAACAACGTATTGGCAGTCTGGAGTAAACAATCACTGCATCTTACTTTTGCCGTGGGGGGACTGGATGGAAGTCACAGTTCAGAATTTGTGGTCAAAAGCAGGTGCTACCATTTTTCGCAATTACGATGGAAGCGGCTTTGCTTAGTCTGACTGTTGCCTTCTTCCCTGCTGCACCAGGTATGTCTGGCGTGACGGGGGCAGCGCTGAGAGAGACATCGTTTATCAACCGCAGCTTGTCTGCCCTAGCCGACGTTCTTGGAGCAATAGCAGAGCAGCGATCTCACGTACCCTATCGAAACAGCAAACTTACCCACCTGCTTCAGGACTCCGTAGGTGAGGGATCATCCTGACTTTTGTTTAACAACATAGATTTCTTTTTCCCAATCTCTCCCTTCCTTCGCTGGGTAAAACTAGAGGATGGTCTTCAAAGACTCTGGCTTTGGAGCAGTGTCAGGACACACTGAGAGTTCTGAACTCCTCACGAATTTGGGTAAGCCTTGCTGTTTCCAAGGCTGAGTTTAGGAATACACTTGGAATAATCACAATATCTTCAGTAGGATCGCGTAAAGGGTAATAATTGCATTTCACTGGTGTTTCATGCCAGGTACAGTTTACAAGTTAAGCTTCAATCTTCAGTACTACAGGGTGTAGTCACATGTTTACACATTCCTTAACACTCGCCCTGCAGCAGCAAGACAAAGAAGGGAGACAGAACACATGCACGGTACCGTGCTACAACTCCTTTTGTGTTTGGGTCACTCTAGCTCCTCATCTGTGCAGAAGTAGTTTCAAAGCAAGTGTAATTCTTGCAGTGATGTCAGTTTTGTGTCCATCCATACAGTATATTTGTCCATTTTTCTTCAGCCAGAAAGCACCAGCCCTTTAGTCCCCAGTTCAAGGCATTGGCAGTGACTGAGGTAACTGTTCTTCGGAGTTTTTTTTAATTAAGTTTAATTCTTTAGTCTCTGGAGTTTAATAATGTTAGTTAATCAAGACTATTAACTTTTGATGGAACTATGAATTTCACCTCACGCTGGAGTTTCCACTGTGAAAAAGGAAAGCCAAAGAAAGAAGTGAGTTTAGGACCTCTGGTATATTGGCACTGAGCTTGCTTTTAACCATGCCTGGGGCATGACCTGGGTGACGCTGTTCAGGTGCAGAGTAGAAGGTGGCAATATCTTTGTTTAATGACTTCTTCTGAACTTCTAGTAATTCTGTTTGCTTTATCGTCACCCAAATAAGCCACGTTGCCATCACCCCGAATTTAGAAACATTTGGCAAAGCTTAATGAAGCCCCAGACCCATCATGTATGAGCAGAGTGCCTGATGAAGGACACTAGAAGGACTAGAAGGACTTCCCCTGAAGGAGCTGTCTGGTTTCAGTGGCCCTCTTCACGTACAGTCTTCTGCTTCATAAGAGCAGTGGTAGCCTATGCTCGTTGCTGCATCCATCGATCCGTCACCAGTGTGTAACTCACTGAAAATAATGAGGTACATGAGTATGTTTTGTCTTTTTCCTGCTTTCAGGAGGTGATGCTAAGCTGTTGGTGATGCTGTGCATCTCTCCTGACCAGAAGTACTTGACAGAATCGATGCAGTCTCTGGGATTTGGAACTCGTGCTCGGCAAGTTCAGAGAGGACAAGTCAAGAAAAGAAATTTCCCAGTGCAGAGTAAAGCAAAATAAACCTAAGACTCCTGTGGATTAAAGTATTATTAATGAGTTCCTCAGACTGAAATGTATATTGTTGTCCTAAAGCCATTCTTTTCGATATCAACTGCCAGATAAAATAAACAATCCTCAACATGGCATTAGTAAGCCATAAACCTGCTGATAATGTGCTTTCTCCAAAGATAGCAGCCAAGTATTGCCAACAGCTACCAGCCATGGTGGAACGGCACTGGAATAAATCAGGCTTTTTTAGGAAAGTTACTTCAAGACATGGTTTTGGTGATGTGTTTCCCTTGGGCAAGTAGAACTAAGTCAACAGAGCCCTGACTTAGGATGTCTGGCTTCTGAAAGGCCAAGGGTGCGTTCTCTTTTCTCGGTAGAAGATGAGTATAAGTGTCATTCCAGTGCTTCAAAGCTGCAACTAAAATCCTTCCCCTCAGCTTGGATTAAAGGGAAACATGTCATTGTGGCTTGCTCTTCTCTCTAGCACAGACAGGGTCATTCCTAACGCACTCTCAACAGGGAAGGGTGTAAAGGAACCCATCAGCTGTACTGAACCGAGTTCTGTTCTCCGCTTTTAGGCAGGAAATGGCACTAGTGAGATGGAGAAAAAGGAGTAAGGCTATATCTGCTATCCCCCTGGATTGTACCTTAGGAAGCAAGTGAGCTTGCTTGCTTACAGCTTTTTGAAAACACGCTCAGGTTAATGGTTGGAGTGAATCCCAACCCTGCGGAGGTCACCAAGACTACAGCTTTGCCCAGTTTGGGGTTTCTTTTGCTCCATGACCGCTGAAAGGCCCTGAACTGCAGATCCTAATGGCTAACAGGTCCTAAGTTGTTACCGCAGTTTCAGTAGTTGGCCCTGCTTGCATTTCTGAAGCAAATTAACATGCTTCCCATCATCACATGAATAAAGCACCAAAACCCAGCTTGTGGTATGACACCTGCCAACCCCAAGAGGCTTTCACCCGTTTACACCAGCACTAGATGACATCACGCAGGGTTGGTAAATGAAGTGACACTGGGAGAGGTTTCCAGGAAACTTAAGCAACGTCAGAGATGAGCAGTTGTTCTGAGAGGAGTAGCTGGGTTCACCTAACACCTGATGAGTTGTGTGTGCT